ATCCCATGGATCCGATCCCGATCCCATGGATCCGATCCCGATCCCATGGATCCGATCCCGATCCCATGGCTCTGATCCCGATCCCGATCCCATGGATCCGATCCCGATCCCATGGCTCTGATCCCGATGCCGACCCCGCAGGGATGATCCAGGCTCTGGGCGGGTTCTTCACCTACTTCGTGATCCTGGCGGAGAACGGCTTCCTGCCGGGAACGCTGCTGGGGATCCGCCTGGCCTGGGACGACCGCTCCAAGAACGACCTGGAGGACTCCTACGGACAGGAGTGGGTGAGGGACCTACACTGACCCTACACTGACCCTACACACCGGTTACACACAGGTTACACACAGGTTACACACCGGTTACACACCGGTTACACACCCATAACACCCCTGGGACAATCGCTCCAAGAACGACCTGGAGGACTCCTACGGACAGGAGTGGGTGAGGGACCCTAAAACCGACCCTACACTGACCCTACACACGGGTTACACACGGGTTACACACGGGTTACACACGGGTTACACACGGGTTACACACCCATAACACCCCTGGGACAATCGCTCCAAGAACGACCTGGAGGACTCCTACGGACAGGAGTGGGTGAGGGACCTACACTGACCCTACACACCAGTTACACACCAGTTACACACCAGTTACACACCAGTTACACACCAGTTACACGCCAGTTACCCACCAATTCCACAGCTGCTTCCATCCCATTTCCACACCCATTCCCACCCCGTTTCCACCTTTATTTCCGCCCCGTTTCCGCCCCGTTTCTCCCGGTTTCCCATTCAATCCCGTTTCCGTTTCCCCACTCGTTCGCTCCCACTTTCCTCCTGCTTTCCCCCGTTGTTCTCCCCCGATTTCCCGGTTTCTCACTCCAGCTTCCCCTCCGGATTCCCGAATTGTTCCCCCCTAGTTCCCACCCCGGTTTCCTGTTGTTCCCCCCCGGTTTCCTGGTTGTTCACTCCGGTTGCCCCCCGGTTTTCCCGGTTCCCACCGGTTTCCCTTTTCTCACTCCAGTTCCCTCCTGGTTTTCCCCATTGTTCCCCCCCAATTTCCCATTTCTCAACCCGGTTCCCAGTTTCTCACTCCAATTTCCCATTTCTCACCCCAATTTCCCATTTCTCACCCCAATTTCCGGTTTCCCACCCCAATTTCCCGTTTCCCACCCCAATTTCCCGTTTCCCTCCCCAATTTCCCATTTCTCACTCCAATTTCCCGTTCCCCTCCCCAATTTCCCGTTTCTCACCCCGGTTTCCCATTTCTCACCCCAATTTCCCACCCCAATTTCCCATTTCCCACCCCAATTTCCCGTTCCCCTCCCCAATTTCCCATTTCCCACCCCAATTTCCCATTCCCCTCCCCAATTTCCCGTTCCCCTCCCCAATTTCCCATTTCCCACCCCAATTTCCCATTTCTCACCCCAATTTCCCATTCCCCTCCCCAATTTCCCGTTTCCCACCCCAATTTCCCATTTCTCACCCCAATTTCCCATTCCCCTCCCCAATTTCCCGTTCCCCTCCCCAATTTCCCGTTTCCCACCCCAATTTCCCGTTCCTCTCCCCAATTTCCCGTTCCCCTCCCCAATTTCCCATTTCTCACCCCAATTTCCCATTTCCCACCCCAATTTCCCATTCCCCTCCCCAATTTCCCGTTCCCCTCCCCAATTTCCCGTTCCCCACCCCAATTTCCCATTTCCCACCCCAATTTCCCATTTCCCACCCCAATTTCCCGTTCCCCTCCCCAATTTCCCGTTTCTCACCCCGGTTTCCCATTCCCCTCCCCAATTTCCCGTTCCCCTCCCCAATTTCCTGTTTCCCACCCCAATTTCCCGTTCCCCTCCCCAATTTCCCGTTTCCCACCCCAATTTCCTGTTCCCCTCCCCAATTTCCCATTTCCCACTCCGGTTTCCTATTTCTCACCCCAATTTCCCGTTCCTCACCCCAATTTCCCGTTCCCCTCCCCAATTTCCCATTTCTCACCCCAATTTCCCGTTCCCCTCCCCAATTTCCCGTTCCTCACCCCAATTTCCCGTTTCCCTCCCCGGTTCCGTGCCCAGACCTACGAGCAGCGCAAGGTGGTGGAGTTCACGTGCCACACGGCGTTCTTCGCCAGCATCGTCGTGGTGCAGTGGGCGGATCTCATCATCTGCAAGACGCGCCGCAACTCCGTCTTCCAGCAGGGCATGAAGTGCGACACGGCACCCCAAAACCGCCCCAAAATCCCACCCCAAACCGCCCCAAAATCGCCCCAAAATCCCACCCAAAACCGCCCCAAAATCCCACCCCAAAATCCCACCCCAAACGGCCCCAAAACCGCCCCAAAATCCCACCCCAAA